ATGGAACAAGTTCCATCGTCGGGGACTCTCGCCCGCAGTCGCTAGAAGCGGCTATAAAAAGTCGATCGTGTGCGCGACTGTTTAAAATAATTACTTCCATATTCAGCGTCAAAACTGTCGCGCTACAAAAGTCGCTGGTCTGCGGGTGCCCTTAGACAGAATGGTGGTCTTGCTTTGTGAAAAATTAATCTAACTTTATCAGTTTTAAGTTTTTCAGAAAGGTTGCTTGAACATGTTATTTGTTTCAAGGAATGGAATTCGAGACAGTACTACAGTAATATAAAATTACGTCTCTGTGTTCTGGTGATTCGCGTCATCAACTTTTGCGCGGTGTTACAATAATTGTAACACCGCGCAATATTATTAATGTGCCGACAAAGGCACTTTTTTATCCGTTGCGGCTAGTGGCCAAAAATGATATGAGATCTGAGATTTTTCTTCTTGGAAAACGGTGAACGGAAAACGAATACTCGAATATTCTAATACTCGAATATCTAACGAATATTCGAATATTGGAATAATTTTACTATTCGAATAAACCAGTAAACGAGTTTTCGAATTTCAGACTTTAAACATTCTAAGCACTAGTTAAAAACTTCCAACTTAAAAAAACCATGTTACAGATATAGACGGTTTAATTACATAGAGCGTTAAATGCATCTCACAGTCCATTGTATTTTTCAATACTACTTACCATGGACGAAAACTGAGATGGGGTATAAAGTTGTCGCGCACAAGCTAAAATTGTGCTTGTTTTTCCTGTTCCTGGTGGTCCATAAAATAACAAGTGTGGCACTTGATCTTCTTTAATAAATTTACCAACTGAAAAGTACATAAATATTTAAAAAAACTTATCAAAATATGTTAAATACTTTGTCGTAATTAAACATGCTGAAGAAACTACCAAATTTACGTTGAAGTGTATTAAACAAAAATATCTTCATCAAAAACGCTAAAACAATTTTATCTAGGTTCTCTTTATGATATACACTTAAGTTAAGTTGTTGAAAGAGATATGAGAACATTTCAACATTTCAAACATGAAACATATAGTGCAGATAACTGAAACGTTTCGGGATTTAAATATACGTTTCTAAAATATTTCTGAACCAAAAAAATTGTTCAGCGGGCATATACTTACAAGAATATTTAACAGAAAATTATTAAACGTACCCGTTTTTATAATATCCTCATGAGACACTAAATCGTCTAAAGTACTGGGACGATATTTTTCAACCCTAAAATTAAGTAGATTGTAATAACGGGATATTAATAATGGAAATAATTATTGCATTAGATAGGTATATATATTCAGTAAAAAAAGTGTCCATACATCAGTTATTTTTCAATATTGTTTGGACGTTCGCTATTTTATTTAAGTGTAACTAGAAAAATCATAAAAGTAAATGTTGGCAGGCGCCTTAAAAGTAATAAAATTACTAGTAAAGCCATATGAAACACTTTATTTGAACAATAAAATATAAAATAATATTTTTAACGAAAAATTATATAAAAAAGTCTCCATACACTGACAACTCTTTTGAAAAAT